TATGCACAAATATATATATATACATACGTATAGTATACGTACAGACATATATATATATACATATATATATATATATACGTATATGTATTTGTATATGTATATGTATATGTATATGTATATGTATATGTATATGTATATGTATATGTATATGTATATGTATATGTATATGTATATGTATACACATATAACAAGCAAACACACCCCCACACACACATGTGTGTGTGTGCGCGCGTGTCTGCAGGAGCTGCTCTACAGCGAGGGCGGCCTCCTGACGCTGCACATGAAGGAAAGCCAGGCAGCCGAGGCCGATTGCACAGGGTTTAGGGTTTGGGGTTGAGGGTTTGGGGTTGAGGGTTTTGGTTTGTAGGGTATTGGGAAGCTCCCCAGCCTGAAGCTTGGAGAGACCTTGAAATGGCCTAAGGCGGGCTCTCGATTCCTGTCGCAGCTCGTGCCCGGCAGCGAGGAGAGCGCTCCAAGCTTGGGCTTGAAGCGTGCAAGGGCCGCTGCTAAGGGTGTCGGTGCCGGGGTTATAAGGCATGGCCTAAACACTCGGCAGCGTTTACGACGATATTCGGCATTCTTGGGACGAGCTGGGCATGGAGGCAGAAGCGTACAGATCCGTGAGACTCAGATTTACACAGGAGCACCAGGGATTCAGGCGTCAGTTTCCAAGTCCTTGGATCCGCGGCAGGAAGACCAAACGGAGGAGCCCTCAAGAGTTGAAGGATTCCCTTTTGATCTTGTGTAATTCTAGATTAAGTTGATCTCAAGAGCGCATTCCAATAGTTTAAGTCCAGCTACAAGCCGTCTGTGCCAATGTCGAGAGAGGCCTTCAAGGCCCCTTACCTGCACCTTTACCTCGCAGTTGCAGGCGAAGGTTTTCGATGTGGCCGATGAGGCCGATGCTAAGACCATGTTGCCCAAAGTTGTGGATGCTGAAGGTGATAGGCTCCTTCTGCGACTGCTCTAGGATGGAGACGAAATCCTTGGCCCTACATTCATTTTGAGGCCTTGGGCTCTCGCGGCATTCAGAGCCCTAAACCCGAAGCCTTTTCCCGTGGACCCTAAACCCTAAACCCTAAAGATCCTGCCAGAAGCCGCTCAGATCAGGCCCTGGTCTCCCTCCGCTTCGTGGCACCAACAAAGGGCACCTCCCAGGCGAGACTCCTCTCGGGGCCATGGGAAAAACCCTATCCCAGGGCGTGGGGGCTTAGGGTTGCAAGTTTCTTTTTTTTTCAGGGGAGCGGGGGGGGGGGGGGGGGGNNCAAAATTTTCTGACCGGCATGGTGCTTGCGGAACGTCACCGCTTTGGTCGAGGGGGTGGAAGTCATCCTTGCTCCGCTTGGAGCTTCCTTCAAGCAAAGCCTTGGACTCGGACGTCCGAGATTCAGCCGTACTTGATGGATCCCGGTAGGGGCTCTTTCGGATGGCCCTTCGTTGAACCCTTGAAAGAAGATCCATATCGAAGATGTTGGTCCACTTCATGCCATGGTTCGAGAGTGAGTAAATCCTGGCAGCTGAGGCCTTGAGTGAGTTGGCAGTAGCTGGGATGTAACATAGAAGCCTAATCAATTGCCAATATTACTCCCCGGATCCTTGATTCGAGTCCTACTGTAACATACCTACCCCCCAACTCCCCATTCTAATTGAACATCGGCGGTCCCCATCTTGCGTCTTCCAGCAAGATCCAAGTCCAAGCAGTCTCCGATGAGGTGCTCTCCGTGCTCCTGCCGTTGATCTTCTTATTTGTGTGGTATCAGGTTGCAAAGTCCAGGCCTCAGAAGCTTGTCGATTGCATCTGGTTGCATCGTAGTTCGTAAGTTTTGTGATAGAAGGTTCAGCCGCCGCTGCCAAGCAACCGATCGTCTCGCCATCACCATCTGAACAGCTTGGCTACACCTGAGCATCGAGTCAGCAGCACAACTGAGGTCACTGATCACACGAGAGAACAAGTGGACACCGACAAGAAGTCGTCTGCAGACCGAGCCTGTGTTGCTTGACAGTCCTCCTGCATTGCTGAATGCAAAATGCAGTAGTTGCTGTAGTTGCTGGAGTCCTCCCGAAAGTGCCTTCGCCCCAGACGGCGCTGTCCGGCCAATGACAGGCCCCGAGAAAGAACGACCTTTGCGGACGTTGTGAGCCGCAGCAAGGCTGCCATCGCTATGCAAGCACAAAGCATTTGTCTGCGCAGAAGTTTTCAGTTACATTGTTTTGCTGTCATCATGATATATGATGGTACACGTGCAATTCTAACATTTTCTGTTCCATTCATGAACTGGCGGCGCACACTTCCCCAACGTTGTCCCGTACCGACACACTTCATCAATCAGCAGGTTGAGCTCAGTGAGATCGTGGAATACCTGAACCACCCTGCGAAGTTCCAGCAGGCGCTGGACGGGCTTGGTGTTGGGGATTGCTATGGGGACTTTTAGGTAATTACCAATACTAATTTCGCGTTCGTTATGGTAATTATACCCCAAAGCCCTATTCTAATTATTAAGGCCCCTATAGTAGGCGAATGAGAAGTGAAGCTCACTCAAGCAAGTGGGTCCAGCCCTTCGTTTTGGTCTTCCGAAGTGATTCGAGGACAGCCTCTCAACACCCAAATCCTATGTACCAACCCAAGAATTCCTAGAAGGGTTCCCTCTAAGGGAAGACCCTGCCCACTGAACTTCGATGATACCCTGTACAATCTGCAAAGGTGTTCCGACCCTGCATCAACACGAAACCGGATAGGAGCCTTTATCCTAACCTTCCCAAACCCGAATAACCCCAAGCCCAAACCTCAACCCTGAACCCGAAGCTCGAAAATCCTAACCCAGCAACCCTGAAGCCTGAACCCTTAATCTTACACATGTATGTCTGTATGTATATATATATATATATGTATACAAATAGAGATTGTACATACATGCTCATAAATAAATAAATATATATATATACACACATATATATATATATATATAAAAGGAATCCTAGTATAAGGGAGCCTAAACCAAATCGCAAGGCCGGTGCGAAGATGCCTCGTGGGGCCCTCCTTGTCGGTCGGGGCCTCAATGCGCCTTTTGGGTTTACGGCTTGGGTTTAGGGTCGAGGGTGTACGTTTTAGGGTTTACGGTTTCAAGTTGGGTACGGGCGGGGGAAGAAGGGACAACACGGAGGGCACAGAGATGTAGGGTTCAGGGATGTGGAGTCCCGGGGTTTGGGGTTTGAGATCGAGGGCTCGGGGGTTTAGGGTTTAGGATTTCTAGTTTGATTAGGGGTTCGGGATGCCTGACGTTTGGAAATTGCAAAAATAGGATGGCAAGGAACCTGAGGAGGTTTAGTCAAACGCAAGCAGCTCGACTTTGCATGCGGTCGCACTTGGCTGATCCCGGCTGCATACATTCGTGACTGGTGGTGTTCCATGCTGGTTGCGGTGGGTGTGCAGAAGGAACAGGCAGCGGGTGTTCCAAGAAGTGCTCGTCGAATGAGCCCTAAACCCTAAATCCCTAAACTCTAACCCCCAAAAACCCTAAACCCCTAACCGAGGCCCAAGCGGGACGGGGAAGACCCTGCTGGCACGAGCAGTTGCCGGTGAGGCCGTGGAAGCTTTGAGGTCGTTGAGGTTACTTGCAGTTTAGGGTTTAGGAGTTTAGGGGTTAGAGGTTTGGGGTTTAGGGTCTTCGATGCTGTGAAATGCGAGGGTAACTTCGAAAGCGAAGTGTGCAGTTGCAGTATTGCAAGCAACGAGTGTGCTTCCGATTTTTCCAAGGGTACACCTTGGGCATAGAGGCATAGAGTACATCAAGGTTGTGGGGGGTCATGGGTTGCTAAGGCCCGCTACTGGCTAGCAAGCTTGGGATTCACCCTTCCCCCGCTCTTCCACGAGCTCTGGACCTGCTTTGTACTTCAGTAGCAGATTGCCATAGAACACCCGCTTATGCTTTTCGCATGCCTTCAACGATATGAGCTCCGGAAGGCCAACTGCAGCTTTCTCAGTGCCTCTGCCTCGGAGTTTGTCGAGGCCTGCAACCCCGTCTCAAGCTACTTGGAATGTTCCGGAGGGCAGGTCCTTGCACTGCGAGTATTGCTTACATCCTGGTTCGTCATGTCACATGATCTTTTGATAGGCCTGACGGCAATCTTTCTGGAAAGCCCTGGCCGTCTCGACTGCTCTTTGGGGCCAACTTAGATAGTGTGTTTGGTTGGAAGGGTGGTGGGGCTGGCAGGGTATGCCTTGCTCTGACCTGACAACTCGCATTCCCAGACCCCAAGTCCCCAGCCCTCATCCCTAAACCCTAGAGCAGCCCGAAACCGCCAGAGGCTTCTAAGCCCCTAAATGCTCCCAAGCCTCCGCCATCTTCGTCGACGCCGCCAGTGAAAGGAGGGGCCTAGGGACCCAGGGGCGTCTCCGGCGCGCCGAGAGCCGCGTGGCCAGGGCCCCTGGGGTCTCTCGGGCGCCTGTCTTTGAGAGTCTAAGGATCTTTTTTTTTTCGGTGGTTGAGCTGCCCTTTCCTCAACGGCTTGAGGTGGGCTGGCAGAGATTTCCGGTTCAGGTTCCCGGCTGCAGAGACGTCGGTACAGTTGGCAGGACCTTCGGAGCCACAACCCCTTACCGATTCCCAACCCCGCGCGCCCAGGTACCCCTGGGGTTTCTTTGAATGCATCATTGCCCTCTGAAGTTCTGCAGCCCAATACCTTCAGCTCCAAAACCTAAAGATCGATGTCTTTTTCGTGAGTACTCCTAAATCCCCGCGCTTCAACCAAAACTATCGAGGTCGGCCGGTGGAGCCATGGATGCGAAGAAAGGGGGACGGGACCGCGTTTGGGAGGCACTCTTTGACAGTCCTCACTCTTTGAGGCGTAGCGGCTTTGGATCAGGGTTTCAGGGTACAGCTCACGCCCAAGCCACCGCAGCCAGAAGATGTGAGTCGATTGTCGACACCTTAAGATTCAATGCAGAATGTCGTTGTGCCAGGGTGGTCATACTGTTATTGATCACTTCAGCCCTTTCTACAGCCGGAGACCCAGTGTGCTGTGTTTGGAACGATCCGGAAGCCAGTGCATTGGCATGATGTAGTTCTCAGCGTTTGCGAGGCAGCAGGATTTGATGTGCCAAGCCCTAAACCCTCAAGCATACAGCCTAAACCCCAAACTCAAACCAAGGCAAATATGCTGACACCACCGCAGCCAATGACAGGATTCGCGAGGAGCGATGCAAAATACGGTTTTGGGATACTTTATTGTGTGATCACTTTATTGTGTGATCACCTCAGGCTTCTATGCTCTGCACATGATTTTGGAGCATTGCTAAGATGCCTGACAGCCTAGCCTTGCTTCTGGAGATGCATCCTTCCAGAATGTCTTTGAATGAGCTAGTTTTTGCCGTCTTGTGCGGGTTTCAAGCCCTAAACCCTATGAGCCAGGCTGCCATGCTGATGTGCGTGACAGAAGGCCAGATAGAGGACGGAGACCTAGAAGAGGCAACGACAGCATCTGAAGGCGGGGTCTTCGAAGCACCCGCTCCCTTTTCCCTTCCGGCTTAACGTAGGGGGCTAAGTAATTGCCCATACGATTTTGGAGGTTCCTTAGTAAAGAAAAATATAGTATAGTATATATATATATATCTACACATGTCAATCCAAAACTCTGTTCAAATTTATTCAGGCCCCCTGCAAAGTGTCTGGCGTGCTCGAGGCTGCCTGGAAATCTTCAGAGAAGAGGGTGACGAAAGAGGCTCGGATCGTTTCCACCATGCGGATCACCTTGTGTTTTCCTTACCTCTGGCCAAGTTTTTTTATAAACATGTCACGTAACTTCCATCTGCAGAAGTCTTCAGCGATTGTAGATACCATGCGCAGCTTTCTCGGCATTTCATGAGAGCAGAGCAGGTACACGCGATGCGCTCCGACTAGTTATCCACGTTTACCGCGCCAAAGCGGACGAGGCGCAAAAGCCGCACGATGGGTTGGTTTAGGGTTTGGGGTTTCGGGTTTAGGGTTTAGGATTCTGATTGAGCTTTTCAGCTGCAGCTTGCTCATCCGCGACTGCGCATCATCTCGCACTGTCTGGCTTCCAGCGCATCTGGCGATGATGGTGCAGGCCCGCAACAAAGGCGAACGAGCTGATGTGCTCAGCTCAGACGCATGATAGCTGACATGCTGTGCTATCTGCGGCAAGCACGCTGGTAGCGAAGACGATAGCAGCTGCAGGGCAGCCACACGTGCTCTCTGAGACAGCAGTGCCGTGACCCGGAAACAGAACCAACTGCCCCAACTTACATTCTCCAGGAATCCTTCGTCATGCACTGCTACTCTGAGACAGTCTATGGCATCACGTTGACCTAACGCCTCAAGCCATACGCTAACCAAAGTTTTCCAAGGCTCGCGAGCTGCTAGAGAAGGCCGAAGCCATGGCGGAGGAGGCACTCTGCGGGGGCTTTTGGGGGAGTCAGCTTGGAGCAGTGGCACGGCAGGCCTGAACCCTTGAGCCTTGCGGTTTGGGTACACGAGTTGGCGTGGACTTGGGTAGGAACGACTGAATGCCTCTAAAACCTGCAAGCATCTTCAAGCCCGCCTCCACCTCAATTCAGGTTTGGTCCTATAGGTTGCCTTTGCCCATGCCATCTGAACTCGAAGTGCAGTGCATGGGCCCTGCGCAGGAACTTTCGAACTACCGAGACGCCGGTGACGACCTTGGTCAGGCGGACGATGCACGGATGTTTTGGAGGTATTCTCTGGTCTGCGAACAGTCTTCATGTTCGATTTGCTTCGCCCCCTGTAGGGCTGCATGTTGCTCTCGATGGCGGAAGCCGCCTGTGCCTACCGGGGAAGCTCCAAGCGGGACGAGGCCATAGCTTTGCTTCGCTTAGATTGCGAGATGGCAAATTTTCCCTTCTGAATTTCGGTCCGCGGTTTAGGTTAGGGTGCTACATGGGTTTGGGCCGGGGTTTAGGTTCTATTCTGTCTGATGTTCTTCTGTTGTAAACTGTCCGGTCTTCCAAGTCCGGTAGGATATTTATCAATACTATTTCGTAGGGCCTTAGGGCCTGAGGGTTCCGTATGTTAATTCAACCCTAAACTTTTAAACCCTCTCTCTCTCTCTCCCCCTATCTCTCCCTTTCTCTGTCTCTCTCTATATATATATATATACATACATACATCACTCATTTCGGGCACAGAGTCTGT